ACTAATTACTGGATGAAAATAAACAAAAATGTATCCCAAATCAATTAAATTAAAGATGAATAGATGATTTAAACAAATCCATCTATTCATAACTAAACAGTCAGTAAACACAATTGCTTTAGTTTATATTTATGAAATGTAGGTAAGTAAAAGAAATATAATTATTCATTCACAGAGGTGTGTAATATTAAAGTCCTAAAGAAATAACCATTTTTGTGCATCATTGAAGGYCTGTAATTAAACATTTTCTTACACAAGGTACGTAAAAAATATTTGACATTATTCTTAAACATTTTTAACAATTCAAAAGTTTGTACATATTATCTGTTTAGACTTTTATATCATACAATATAGGAACTTGTGTGCTATAATATAGCTAACAGCTATGTTATGTTATATGATACAAAAATATTTATATTAATTAACCTAATATATTAAGTATTAACCTAACCTCAGTGTTTGTTGAAAAAACTTTAGCACATTTAAAAAAATATTTGTCCCACTCTGTTCCCCTGGAAAAAATTCTAGTGTTGTGCCTGCAGTTTAATCATTGGTCAAATATACATATACAATAAACTTCATATTAAATTCAAAAATGTTTTAAAAATTATGAATGGAGTAAAATTTAAGTCAGTACGTAAGAACGTGTACAGATGTATTTTTCTTCAAAAACAATAGAGCATAACGATAATTTATACTCATGAAATTTACCAAAAAGAATACGTTTCTAACTGTAAATATGGAGAGTAGGTAATAAATGTATATTGAACTTCATTATTATATTATAATCAAAAATTTAATTTAATATTTAATACTTATCATATAGGTTATAGATTACGCTAAAAAATGTTATTAATACTAAAATAATGATTAAAATTAAGTGCAGGTATGTAAAATATTATAAATATAAATAATATAATATATTRTTTTACTTATTTTGTGCAACCATAAAGTGTTGGCCGGCGTATAATATAGGCAAAATAGGTACATTATTGCAGTTCAATATTGTTGTGATTTTATTACATATCACATTTATAAAGATTTTAACTTTTAAGAAATCATTTTATAGGTTTTAGCTCATCGTAACTCCACATTCTCGTGGCGAACAGAGTATGATATATGTACAGTGTAATCACGGTTTGAGGTAACACTAAATATCACAGGTGGATGGCCTTATATTGAAATGGGGTTTTCAGTGATAAAGAGTACCTAAATATATATTTTCAAATAAATTAAATTTTTTTAACACTTTCGGTATCTATGTGCACACGAAATACGATTTAGATCTTTTTTTATGGAAACACTATTTTTTCTATGTATTCTGATTGATTATTTTTATAAAAATGTTGTTTTACATTTAATTAATACAATTAACGAAATATCATACTCTACTAATAATGTTTAATTATTTCACACTTATTTTATTATTTCCAGTGATTATAAATTAAAATTTCATTAAACACGAGTTAAGCATAAATCCAAATTTTGGCTTACTCTAACTTGGTCAGTTTTCTAAATTGAAAAATACTTTTGGTATGAAAAATGTTTTTAAAACAAAATCAATCCGAATACATAGAAAAATAGTGTTTCTATAAAAAAAATTAAGTTCGATTGGGCATGCGCATACCTTTTTTTTTTCGTTCAAAAAACCGGGAACAGGTGGGAAATGTTTAGCACAATACTGCCACCCGGTCCCRTATCGTTTATTCACCGTCAATTATCGTAGTTATTTTACATACGTGGGGACCTCTAACCACCCTGAATGACTGGCCTTCGGCCCACGAAATAATAAAGTTTACCCTAACTGTCCACCCGCCTGTCTGGAGCGCTCTGCTTATTCCTYCTTGGGTATGCGCATACTTACCAAAAGTGTTAACAATTTGAAATTAATCTGAAAATATTTAGTGTTACCTTAAATCTTGATTACACTGTATACCCGATATTGTGTACACTGATAAATACGAAAATATCTGAACTCAATAAAAAATTAATAAGTCAACGAGGGTTAAGTCTATATGAACAACGTTTAAATTAAAAGAAAATTAAAACAATACCATCACATTAATACTGCAAAAAAAAAATTAATAATAATAAAGTGTCATTTAAAATTTAAAAAAATACTATATAATAATCTACTTATCTATTATTTTATATGATTTGGAGTAGAGAAGATATATTTACATAGTTGATCACTTCTTTAGACTAACTTTTATTTTAACACAAGTGTGTGCATTTTTCAATGAGAAACGAGAACATTTTCTGTTGTAGATGTCGAGTGTTTCTACATCATTGATCAATTACTTTCAAAAAAAATATTTGTTGTTTATTGTTGATATTTCTTTTATATTATTAATAATATGGTAAATGGAATTGTAAGTAAATACATTTTTTACTAAATTTTGTAATTCCTTTTTATGTAAAATAAATGCTTTTTTTGACCGTTTTTCTTATTGATTATGTTACCTTCCAATCCGAACGCTGAATTTATTACATATAAAAGAAAAACTGGAATGGTGAAAGTTGTGGTTTTACAATCGTGCCAAAAATGTAGGAATTGGCATTTAGCACCAAAAATAGATGACATTGATTGATGTTGCTATATAGCCATATAGGAACGAATTTCCAAATTTCGCTTCACAATGAACAATATTGAAATTGCAATAGGATAGATAAAATTAAAAAATATTTGTGTGGGTTATGGAGACACTTGAAGCTTTTGAAATAAAATGTAGTTTTTAAATATGTACCTTTTAATTTGAATTTACACTAGATAATCCGTGCAATAACAATAAAGTTTCACTATAGGCTACAATTCCTAATTTCTCTGGTAGTCTGGTGGGTATGAAACGGTGTTAGAGCAATAATAATTAACCTACCTGATATTAGATAAATTAATTTTAAATTTTAAATTTTAAATTTAAAACATATAGGTATGTCGTAGCCGACGTGTTTTAATTATTAAAAAACTTTCCCCACAGAAACGGTAATCTAAACGGTAAACTGTAATCAAGTAATTTTTTTTTGATATTTATATTTAATAAGTAAATAAATTTGTTTATAAATGATTTCCATTGGTTACAGACTATAATAGTCATAGAATTAGTAGAAATCAGTATTTTTATTTTTTATTTTGTACAAATGGTTACCACTGGCGACTGGCCACTGCTTGGTACACACCAAATWTAATTTTTATTCATAGRTCTCGGATATTTATAATATATATTGTATGTTTCTCCTAATAACAATAACATATTATCATTTTTTAAATTCTTAAAACAGWATTTGGGCGAAAAAAGAGCATGTTTAAAAATTCAACCTATATAACTTTTTACTTGCATCTAAAATATTGAGTTTGATGTAGGTAAAACTTGGTTTAAAGCTGTAGCCTGTAGGCATCTAGTTAAAATTAAGTGCGTTCACAAAAYTTATTTTATTAAACATTAAATCTTTTTATTTAACTCGTTGAGTAATTTATTGGATAACACTTTGTTAAAATAATAAAATATAATATGACATCATCGCTAACCTAACTAATACAAAGCAATARTACTGATTACTTATGATATTAAGACAATTTTGAAATTACTAATCATGTATAAATTAGGTACTTAAATACTTACCTTTAAGTAGACAATTCAATATTAGGTAATTAACAAAGATAAAAATAACACAAGGCCATTAAACTTATAACATCCAATTACATTTCGACTCATAAAGTTATATTTTTTTTTGTATTCAGTTCTACAACATGTCAATACCTTAACGATTATGATTCAAGTATATATCATAACTGTAGCTAGCAAAGGCAAACTGCAATGAATATTATTCAGTCAGCTTATTATTTTATGCTTAAAAAGAAACTCTTAAAACATAATTAAAATAATAACAGAAATAGTATTAATTTGATGTGAAAAAATAAATATCGATCAATATAATTATATACTGTAAATTGTGATATATAGTTTTAAGATAATTATTTAGAATTAGACAGGGTTGAACACAATAATTTCAAAATTATTTTTAAGAGAATGTAATGAAAAATAAAAARAATACTACAATATACCTTACTTAAATACATAAACTTTTGTTGTATAGCCATAACAATATGAAACAAGTTCATCTAGTTGGTATTAAAGTGACTACATACAATGATCAAAGTTTTAGGAAACTAAAAACAGTAGTAACTTATATAACTTTTTTCTTTAATCATATATCATTTTTATTCTAAAATTATAAATAAAATAAATACAACCTAATAATTTATTATAACTAGACTAATATACATTTTAAACTTTCAACTAAATCTTTATAATTGTTGCAAAATAAAGAAAACATAAAACAACTATGACGAATCTATTACTATTAAAACAAAACTAAAAYGAATTGTCTTTACTTACAAGTTACAAGTATTAACAAATTTAAAAACAATCTACTATCAAGCTAAATATCTCTGGGAAAAATATTCCTCCTAAAACAAATAGTACCAGTACCATAATCAATAATAATATTAATAATAGGAATCATATATTTCAGTATCATATTAAGTGTGCACGCATCATTAGCATTTTGTGACAAAAAAATATGTTTCAAATTCTTTATTAGGACAGTTTATTGGCAAGATTATGGTTTTGGTCCCACCACTTATCCCTAATTTCGGCATATTCTGACATTGAATTCATCAGAAATATTGTACACATAAGTATAAATTAAAAACAGAAACAAAAATAGTGAAGATATGGTTTGATTTTCATAATTGACAAGTCTACATTATAATATAATAATACATATACAGAAAAAAAATAATTATTATATTTAATAATAATAAATATACGAAAACATTTTAAGGGGGTGGCAGACATTAACCATAGTCCTTTTARCTTATTAATAGGAAATGTGAAACATAGTCGATTTCTCTTTAAAAATAAAAATAACCCAATATTATGCACTAAAAAGTAATAATTGACAAACATGAGATACGGTAGTTCATTAAGCAGCGCAGTGTCACTGTGCCATCTCGGCATTCGCTATTCCTTTGGGTAGCGATGAAAAACATAGTCTGAGTAAGTATGGAAACTTGGATGATTCACATTTTATTGGCCAGTGATTAACAGCCATTATCACTTCCACAGCTATAGCCATATCTGTAAACTCAATAAGTCCAGACGAACTACGAGCTTCTGTACCTTTGGGAGGAAACATCTTAATGATAATTTTTGGATCAACATCTTTWACAGCTTTGCATATTGTCTGAGATAAATCAGCTTCTGATATGTTTGGTGGAGCATTGAAGAAATGCAACACGCTGGATGGGGTCTGACGTCGATTTTTTCCGTTAGAATTTGAATGGTATCTGAAAATACAATTAAACATAATATTTAATTCCTTGACCATTGAATAAATAAACAAACTAAAAGATTTTAAATTTATAGGTAAGTAATTGGACAATAATTGGTCAATTAATCTAAAGAACTAGGTATTTAGGAACTGTTAAGAAATTGAAATAAATTCAGTTAAATATAAAGAATGTATATTTAAAATTACCTATCTTAGTACTTTATTTAATTAAAAACTATTGTACATAATTCAATCAATTTAGGTATACAATCTTATTTAAATTTAGAAAAAAAAATCATCACCAACCCAAATTATATTTATAAACTAAAATGACATTCAATATTAATATGAAGATTCGCCAAAAAAATATTACCTGTTATTTTTTGAGTTGGAATAATCTTTGAATGAAGGAGTGCCATCAGATAGATCATACGGTACCATAATATCAGACAAATACATTTGCTTTGATACCTGCAGCTGTAACACATTACCACTGATAAGTGTCAGCTTATTCAAATTGTCCATACAACGATCTACAGACATTTCATTGTCCATCTGTACCATCGCACAGCCCTCCTTGCTTTTTAAGAATTTAATTTTAACCACATTTCCATACAAACAAAACAAATTAAATAGCCGATTACAATTTGCTTTGTCGGGATCTAGACCATATACCATTAGAACACAACGTCCAGGGGTTGCCGGATAGCTGTCACCATAATTATTATTAGGTAGATCATGAGGTGTAGATAACAGTCCGCCTCGACATTCAAAATCGAATCGAGGGAATGTAGGTCGAGTGGATATTAGAGGAGCTCTTGGAGGATCTGGTAACAGGGGTGCAGTTTTCTTTTCCCCAGGATTTGGTGTGGTGTAGTCCCACGTTTCGGAGTCGTTTTTGTAGACGTTTAGCTTGGACGGCTTGGCGTACTCCACTCGTAATGTACAACACCCCTGGTAAATGTCAGCACCGTCCATCAGCTGCTTAGCCCGTATGGCCTGTTCCACTTCTTCATATTCAACCATGGCTTGTACACCGCGTTTCCTAAATATAACTATGCGCAGAACGTTACCATGATCTTTGGAAATGGTGTGGATGACGTCTGTGTTTATCGGGTACGTCACTTTGGTGATGGTCAACAGAAGTATATGGTTGGGCTGCGTTTCGGCGTTTTTGCGGCGACCGTCCTCGTACGACGAAACGGAACTGTTGGTGGTTCGYGACTCCCGATCGTAGTCGGCCGTTCTCAGCCGTTTGTTGGTCTGTTCGTTTTTCAAACTGTTGTAACCGTAATGGTTAAATGACATCATTATTTTCGAGGGAAACACGTCCCGAATTCTAAAAAATAAGTTATTTATTCGTCACCGGCGGGACGACGGACGACATGGTCCGGACAGTACGGATACCGAGAGACGAATTGATAGAGACAGAGAAGGAGAGAGATTGAGAGATATAAAGAGAAATAAAACGTAGAAAAAAGATTAGGAAGTGGAGCTCGAACGGATTTCAGAGGACTACATGGCACTTCGGGCCGACGATTCCGTTTCCGAAGATTCCGATAAAAATTGATTGCATCAAAACGGTGAGGACGACGACGATGTGACGGTGGTCGATTGAGACCATTTTGTCGACATCGTTTCACATACCCGCAGCGCCAAGCACGATCACGATATTAAAAAAAAAACAGTGTTTGAATATTCAATTTAATTTACGATATTTAAACGATAATAAATATTATAGCATAATAATATATATATCGTACTACACAAACCAGCGCTATCAAAAGACCGACGCCATTTTGTCTCGATATCTCTCGTGGAGGCGCGTAGGCGCACACGCACGCAACTTAACTACAAACCGCGAAACTTGCCCGCACGCACTAACACGCGGCAATGACGCGCGCGCACACGCGATGATGTTCAGTAATAACAATAATTACTGTTATAAATTATTGTTATTGTATTATAATATTATCGAATCGAATTCGACTGGTCGGAACGTAGCAACAACAACAACAACGACAGTGCCGATAAAAAAAAATAACCTGTCCCGGTGATCGAGCGGGCTGTAGCGAAATGTTCGGACTTCGAACACGCACTGATCAATGATCAGCCGCGAATCGCGATCACCGATCGGATGATTCTGTTTCGTTAATAATGACGACGTCGACGATAAGACAGGCGCGCGCGAGTGACGCGTATTATTGTTCGGTGCCCGGTGGGCACTCGGCGTGTATGCGTGTCGCGCGACAAGTGAGCGGAAAAATGGGGGGGAGACACGCTCGCGGAGAAACGTTTTGAGAACCCCTCGGCGTCGTCCACACGTCGTAAGCTGCTGCCTGCCTGCTGCGGCCACCAGCAGCTGATAAACGCGAGCCATTTAGGGACGACTCGCGCCGACACTTTCGCACGGGGACCCACTGCCCGCCTATCCGCAGAGCACAGACCAGAACACAAAAGACTTTAATTATGTTATCGTAATTTAGCGTGAAGCCGACCGCCAGTAGTACTCCGAGGGGAATTCTTTGGACGAGAGCCATTGCCGCCGCGGCGGACGCCACCGGCCACCGCTGCGGCGGCGAAAACGGTTAGARCGGCTTAGCTCGCTTCGCGCACGTGAACGTGCCGTATTATAATAATGTGTATAGAGGTACCGCGGCACTTTGGGTTTCGACTGTTTCGAGTGTTTCGACTTTCGGACGGTCGTTACGTCCGCTGTCGGGTGSGGTAGGGGGGCGGTGGTGATTGGCAGGAAGACGGGTGGAGGGATGACTCGCGTTTATTTATAGGACTATTACAATGCGGCGAACTATGATGGTTACGCGCACATTGCTAAGACGTGTTTTATTTTATTGTGTATATTATTATGTACGTACGATCTATTGGTATGGTGTATGACGATAATAGAAAATCTCTATACACGTGCGTGTGGGTAGGTACTCAAGTGCCTCTAATTTTTGTATCGTACCCACTTGAAAGTTTAAACGTACAGGATTCGTGCAACTTTTCACGAAATACGGCGCGACTTGTCCCGTAATCTGTACAAGATAAACAGGTGACAGCTAAGTAGGTTTTATAAATGTCTATACGTACGTATGTAAACAAAAATATGTTAAATAAACGTCACAGACTGCCGTAATTTTCGTGAATGGTACTGAAGTATTGATTAATAAAAAAAAAAAAAAAAAAACAGTAAAATAACTGCAACGAAAATTTTAATTAAAAAAAAAACCATGTTTAATTCATATTATATTCAGTTATATAGGCATTTGTCTGGCTGGTAGGCCGTAGGGTTGTGAACTATTTTAGATTCAAAAAGCATAATCGTTCGTTGTATTTCATTTCCCGCTATACCTACAATTAAAAAAAACCTTGACCCTAATTAGGCTGCTCTACGATATATTAAAATTATCATATCATTTGCGACGTACTCGTGTATTGCAGATCAGGGAGCATGTTCCGTATTCATAATTTCGTGTAAATTTATCAACATAGTGTGGCAGTTTTAGTGTATTGTGTAAAGTATTTAATTTACGTAAGATATTAAGAGGAGAGGACGCTACACAACCCATTTGTTGTCTCCGTCTTACAAGTACATAACATAACAAATTTACGCTCAGCAGATCACGTTTAGCTTGTTAGTTTAATAATAAGAGTGAACCCAACTATTATGAAACTTGATGTTAAGAACATTATCTATGTTGGTTTGTTGGTTTTTTCCGATAGCCAAGTTTTTAAGTAAGTTATGAGCGTTTTTAATTGACGCTTTTTATATACGCATAACTTGCTACAAACTTGAACTATCGTAAAAAATCAACATGCAAACACAGATAATGTTTTCTTAACATCAAGTTTCATAATAGGTCAATTTACTCTAATTTTTAAACTAACGGAGTAAAATGTGATTTGCTTAGCCTAAATTTGTTATGTTACGCACTTGTAAGACAAAGATAGCAAATATGTGTGTAGGGTTCTTCTATGCTCTAATTACGTATTTGTCTAACGAATAATAATTAATCAGAATGGTGGAATAATCTATTTACAACTTAGGTTAGAAATGATTATTTATGCAGTTTTATTATTTAAGTGCTGTATTAAAATATTGTATAGGTATTACATAATATTAGGATATTCCAATAAAACTTTAAGAAATTAGAAAAGATAATAAAATTATAAAAAAATAGTTTTCGTGAAACTTGTAAAACTATAATGTTATTTTTAATCATTTGGATACATTATTGTACAACTATACCTAATTAAAAGCCATAGTACTATAGTATAGGTAATTTAGCACTTAATATAATTACATTATAAACGATAGACGATTTAATAGATTTTGAGTTTATTTGATTTTAATCATGTAGTTTTTCCTAATTTTTAGTATTTTTGATGTTTACGTTGTAACAATAAAAATAATAAAATTAATAAACATAGTATGTCTGTATTTTGATTTATGAATAATAATGTTTCATATTTTTGCATGTTTTTCGAGGGAAAAAATACTAATCAGTATTGTAAAAACACAATGGGAACGCCTTAAATTTGGATGCAACATAGGGCTTACATAAAACTGCAATACATAAGTTACGTATTTTGACATTTGACGTGTTCTGTAGAAAACGTTTAGAAGTTGGGATTTCTCTAGCTGTACGAGTCACTGTTTAATTCGAAAGACTTTTTGTGTCGCCAATACACATCCATTATTGGCTGGCGCGTAGTGCGAAAAAAATATAGTTTACCGGAACTGCCTCTTCCACCATTGATCAATACAATAGTTACGTTGTCTATCCTATTACACAACAACCGACATTGCTGTGTTAAGGTGTGTCTCATGTACTTATATATTATATTGTGGAAAAAAAAAACGTATACTAGATACAGACATACATTTTATTATACTGTATAGCACTGAATACAACCGTCAGTATTTCAAGGTCTGAATATATCTTTTTTCCTGATTATCCAGTACCTAGAATATTTTTATCGATAAAATAAATTACTGTTTCATCATGACAAAAAAAAAATCGTACATCGAGTGTCGTCCCTGTTGTAAAAATAAGCCATAGGTATAAAAGAATTCGGGATTTTATTTTATTAAATAATTAAATAACTATATTAGCTAATAATCGTTGCATACGTAAATTGTATAGTACACGAATCTGCTCATTGTCATTTTATTATTCTGGAAAAAAATGCTTAATATTACAATATTCCAAATGTATAATGATACTTTTCATGTTTTTTTATTTATTATAAAAGCCACTAGTATAAAACTACGATAACTTAACAATTATTACGGTGAAATGGAATACAAAATAACATATTATGATACTTATTAACTTATATAATTCAATATTATACTTAATAAAAAAGAAAACTAAAATTCAATAATAATAATTACTTTCTGATGGTGTGTTAACTATGGTCTTCGGTGCATATTCAGTGTTCATCACTGGGAGTCATTAAAAATAATAAATATATTTATATAAAACCACGCAATTAGGCATTAACTGAGCAATATTTGAGAATATATTTTGAAGTGCAGTCATTTGTATAAATAGTACCTATATGTGAAGCCGAGAAAACAAAACACATATTATAAACAATAGTTACCTACTGTCTATCTATACGTATATAATAGATTAGGCAACTACTTAAAAATCAATTTGCAATACGTAGTTAAAATTATATAGATTTATTTGGTGTAATCGATGTTAAACACTTTTGACTATACGTTGTAATTATAAAATTTAAATTTAAACAAAATGTTCGTATTTTTAGTAATTATCTTTCTTCACAATTATTTTAAAAAATAGGGAATTTTTATTTCACGAAAATTCGAATTTTTAAAGTTATTGTTCAATCACTTCTGTTAAAAAAATTTTCGCTCGGTCAAAAAGCTTAAAAACATAATACAAGATTCTTCACAGTTGTCATTGCAGGAATTAAAAAAAATTGATTGGAAGTGTGCAATATTTGTTTAATTGTTTATGACCATTAAAAGTGAAAATTGTAAAAATTTTCAAATTATATTGTTATTTAAAATTCATAAAATGTTAACTATTTATACGTAAGATAAGAAATTGAAATACAATTAAAGTTCCTTTTATACTTTTACTGCAGTAATTAAAAAAAATAAAAATAAAAATTGAGAATTTTACACAAAACCAGTTTTCGAGAAAATAGATTTTGCTTTTTTTTTGTGAATCAAAAATGAATAACAGTTGAAAGAAGTCGAAATTTTCAACATATATTAATTTACATGAAATAATTTTACAATATAAAAATAATTTCAAGTTATAGAATTTAAA